GGCAAAGAAACGAACTTTTGGGCAAGGAAATTAACTTTTTTGGCAAGGAAATCAACTTTTGGGCAAAGAAACGAACTTTTGGGCAAGGAAACGAACTTTTTGGGCAAGGAAATAACTTAAGGAAACGAACTTTTTTTTGGGCAAGGAATGAACTTTTTGGCAAGGAAAAAACGAACTTTTGGCAAGGAAAACGAACTTTTTTGGCAAGGAAACGAACTTTTTGTAACACCTTTCTAATGTAGAGGCATCAACAAAATTGGGGGGAAGAGGAATTTTAAAGCGCTGTCCAATTGAAAACCGTAAAATAAACGTGAATGAGTCTAATAACATACAAATTCTTCGTTCTTTTCATTACGTTTCGTCCTTACCTACAAGACACCGAACAGCTATTAATCACTCATTACTATCATTTCGGTTTACCACTGGCTTCATTAGGCGAAAAGTGACAGGAAAATGACATGTGTCGAGTAAAGAACATTGACAAGTATTTATGGAATTGGAATACGACAGTTTTCCGACGCAAGTATATTTCAGACGGTGTGTGTGGGGGGGGGGGGGAGGGGGGCTGTAACAAGAGGGTACTAAAGAACGACTGCTTGAGACCAGTAGCAGGCGTTTTGCAGGGTGGGGCTCCCTTGCAGGTATTTTTAGCATTTTTGATACATTTCCCAGACGTTTTAGAGCAAATTGCGGTATTCATGTTGGTTAATGCAGTAATCAATAGGTCTTACTTAGTTTAAATCTAATGAAGGTCAACATGTTCTAGGTCCATCATAAAAATTCTAGCCAACATCTTGTAGCAATTCTGTCAATCATATTTGCTCACATTATTCCCTGATTTTTTGTATTGCATTTTTTTCGATTTTGGGGACCTATTTTCTCACTATAAGGGAGAAGCATTAGCCTTCTCTCTCTCTCTCTCTCTCTCTGGTTCACTTCTCTTTTTTTATACTTTTAGGCTAATTACTTTCCTACCAATACTATCATGTGTAAGAGAAAAATAAGGGAAATAAGGAGGAGAAGGAGTAGAAGAGAGAAAAGGAGTAGGAGGAGAATGAGGAGTAGTGGTAGTAGTAGTAAGAGTAGTAGTTATAAATATATTTACTTACTGAAAATATTCTGTCCCATCAGCATCTAAGGCCATAACCCCCTGGGTAAGGAAAGATCATACAGCACTATGATAAAATGTGGCAAAAAGAATAAAATTAGTTACTGATTAGGACAAAATATGTTAGATGCCAAAGGGAGAGCACTGTAGGTTTGCAGTGAAAAGGGTGAAGAGGAAAGAGCAAACGGATTGTGAGGGCCATTCAGGACAGACACAAAGCTAGCCTTTCATCCTTTCGGCACAGCTCTCACACTTTAGAATGTGAACAGAAGAAAGGGATGAAGAAGAGAAGGAAAAGGAAAGGGGAAAAGAAAAGACCATGCAAAATTGGTTCAGGCGAGGGCTGAGGTCCAAGGTAGGGGTCATCTCCTGCATTGGGCCTCAGTCTCCATCTCCTAAGCCCCCCACGACAACATCGAACAAGGGATTGGGGTTGTAGTAGTCATAAACCCCTGCAGAAGGTAAATAATCGTTCTTCATTGATTTGTGGCCATAACCAACCCTTCAGTCTTCCATTTTTCTCTCTCATTGCTCCTACTTTTTTTTCACTGCTCCCAAATGATGCCGATATAAGTTGTCTTTAACATACATGACAGGATAATAAAAAAACACAGCATTAACAACATTAGTGTTTATAACTTTCTCCAATACAGAAATAATTAATTCTGTACAAAATTAAACAAGACATCTACATTTTTACTTATAGAAAGAATTGATAGAGTCTTCTGATGAAAACTATAATAGATTCTTTTGTGATTGTAAAGTGCATTGCTTTCTGATTTATCACATATTGTTATCTTATTAATCTACCTAAATTTGCAATATCATGAATAGTTTCTCCAATACCATTTCATAAAAATCCCTTCTATATATTATAAAGGGAAAATTCATGATAATCTGCAATGATGGATATACATATAGGTATTATGCATTGTCATTCACATATACTCCAGATTAAACAACTCTTCATATACATTCTTACACATACACCTACTCGTACACATAACTAGTAAACACACAAACAGACACTTAGTGCAATTTCTTATACCCATGAACATCCACATTCACATTCATCCTATTGTTACTTTCATATAAACAGACACACACTCACACACACATACACTTGTATAGAAGCATAAACATATACACATTCACACCACTGGTACTCAGACAAAATACAGATACCAGATATGGACTAACTTGAAATTCTGATAGTCTCTTAAAATGCTAACAAAATCTAACTCAATCACAACATGCCACTGTCATCATAAATGCATTATTAGTTTTTTTTCTTCTTCTCTTACATTTCATCTTACATCTTAAAAAGAAAAGTATTGGCATCTTTCAAAATAAGACAAGAAAAAAATACATCTTGAATAAAAAAAAAAGGGAAAATAAATAAGAATAATAATAACATGACAAAATTAAGCTCCATCACAAAGCGAAAACTCAGGAAACAAATCCCCGAAAGTTTGAGAATTAATGTTTACATAAAAAAAGGGTCATTATGGGGGGTTAGTTTACGTCAATACAACACAAATTACGTTTTCTTTTCTTTATTATTATTATCATAATTATATACTTCATTCCTCCGAGTTCTGACAACTATATAAAAAATCTTAAACCTTTACCTGTACATTCTATTATACCATTAATGGATTATAGTATAAGCAAGAGGCAAAACAAAAAACAGAAAAAAACAAACTGGCAACAAAGGTCACTTCACCATACGGAATGAAGGGGAAGCACAATCGGCAACAAACACCTGTAAATTCTAGTTGAAGAATGCACTACTTGGCAACAGTATTAAAAAACACCTTCCGAACATTTATATATTGCATACAACAGCCTCGCAGAAAGTGGTTAACGTGCACTCTACTAAAAAATTAATTCAGAACACATAAAACATCAAATATATTCACAAAATTTGACTCTTCCTAAGAAAAAAAAATGCATATTCAAATGAAAAATAAAACGAATATAAAACATGAATAAATGAATTAATAAATACATAAATAAATCATAAATATTCAAAATCGTTATTACATTCTGTGAATTCTGTCATGGCTTGGCATCTGTAGTGTAAATTACATTTCCAAAGAAATGAGAAAGAGAAGAAAAGAAAGGAAAAGAAAGAGAAGCAAGAGAAAAAAATGAAAGAGAGAGAGAAAAGAGAGAAAATGACAAATAAAAAAAAAGTGAAAAAGAGAAAACAAAAAAAAAAAAGAGAAAGAGACAGAGAAAAACAATGAAGACAGAAAAAAAAACTGATAAAAGATGAAAGAGAGAAAGAAATATCTTCGTAAAAGGCATTCCCTTACAGAGCACTCAGGATCTTCGCAGAATCTGAAGCGCTTTTTGTACGTCTGATTGTGTCTCCTTAACCTCTACTGGACTTGCTGCTCTGAAGCGCTGCAACGCACACAAAGCAGGCAAAAAAGTGTTTCTCTATTCCAAATTCTGATATATCTTGAATCCATTTGTCCTAGTTAAAATTTCATCATAGTGTTGTCATTCACATATTTTGTTTGCTTGTTTATTTGAAGATTCCAACATCCATTGGCAATTTTTAAATATAATGATCTTTTTGTACACATGATCTGGTTTTGGAAAAAGAAAAAAAAAATCTCTTTTTTTTTTTCTTTTCTTTTTTTCTGAGTATTTGATTTCATCATTGACAGTTTTGATGTTCTCTTCACAAACATTCCAATGGTCCTTAATAATAATAAATTATTTCTTTTTAATTCTTCCAAATATATCTCTTCATTCAAATCATAATCTATTTACATCATCTTGTGCAACCAACTAAATAACAAAAATAAAATTAAAAAGGCAATAAAAATTTACTTAAAAAATGTCTAGAAACGTGCTGGATAATTAGGTCTCCTCGTAATATACAATAATTTTTGTATTGCTATAACACAAAACAAATTCAAAACAAAATACACACATACAAAAAGGACACAAACAAACAAACATTCAAATCAGAGAAACTACCTAGTTATGTCTCTTGATACAATACAAGGACACATAATCCCATTATATAGAGTGATCTTCATGTAAAAAGCTGATAAATGACCACAACTTACAGTCCCTTGAATAATAACTCACAAAGGATAAAAAAAAAAAAAAAAAAAAAAAAAAAAAAAAAAAAAAAAAAGACATGTTAAGTCCACAACCCTAATTCAACCTTAAATCTACGCTTTTGAGCTCTGGAGCGTGACATAAGAGAATGCAATCCCCAAAGCAGCTACACCGGAAGCAAGGAGGATGTATGAGACTGGGCACGTGGATGACGCACTGGACCTGTCACTGCCCAGTCGTGGGCCCTCTCCTACGCCTCCTTCTCCGCTGTCCATCACTTCTGTGGCATCTTCAATTAAAAATACAAAGGAAGTGAGATAGTTGAGAAAACATGTTTTCATACATATATATATTTACCATTCTTATTCACTAAAAACAAAACACTTAATGGAATACACAAAATATATCAATCCTTATCATCCGGATGACGCGACTATCAAGTCATGAAAAAATATCAGTTCACTGAAAGAATTTGAAACATACACTAATCAGCACAAAATGGAGGTATTACGAATTCATCTACCCTTTTTTTTAAATTCATCAATCTGATCTAAATTGTCATGCCGTCTCATGCACAATTTGTGAAACAAGGAACATCTACTCCCTTTGGGTTCTGAAGGCAATTATCACATACAAGCAAAATTATAAAAACTTTCTTCAGACTGAATTCAATCCACAACCATACTCAAATTCTTAGGGAACTTATCCCTTCCATGGAACCTTATCAAACCATCTCTTAAAAAAAGAAAGAGTACAAGAGATGCATTAGAGAAGAAAAGGGATATGGAGAAGGAAGAGGAAGATGGAAAAGAGTAGATAAAAGAAAAAAGGGAGACAGGAAAAAAGGAGAAAGAGTAAAAGCAGACACATACAGAGAAAATCAGTACAGAGAAAAAGACAAAGAAGTAAAAAGAAGTAGAAATGGGTAGGTAGAAGAAGAGAGAGAATTAAAGGAAAATACCTCCAAATAACACATACCAGCTAATGTTTCTAGCGTGTCATCTACATGCTCTGAACGAACTGTCAGCCCAAGCAACTCCTTAGCTGACTGACAAGCATCGGTAGTATTGTCCCCGGGAAACAGGTAGTCGCAGAGACTGACAGGAAGGCCACCTCCTGAAAAGGTTGTTTCAAGATTAAATAATGTAGAGCAACATGTAAAAATGATAATTACATCAAAATAGACCTAATAATCATCTGGAATCTAATTCTACTGTCTCATATTTTCTCTACTCTATCACTGACCAGAGAAGATGTTTTCAAAATGAGTACATTCATGAGGGCATTGCTTAGCACAATATCCAAGTGCAAGAGATTAATGCGAATGTTCCTGACAAGAAGGACAATGAAGGTATACATGTAATAATTAAAACAATTCTTAGTAATTCAGTTTTAGTTACTTGGTTCAATGGATACAATACCCTAATAATGTGCTTATCCCATAATAAAATACATTAATAAAATTAATAACTTTACACTTTTATTTGTCAATGCATAATATACCCACACCCTTAAAGCCTTGGATGACGAAAGGGCCTCAACTGACCTTCAAGGAAGACGCGACGAGGAGGTTCATGGATGATTGGGCCCACCAAGTGCGAGGGAGGCTCTTCCACAAGAGAGTCACAGTGCATCTCCCACCGGGCCACCACCGAGCGCACCAGGTCAACAAGCACAGATGATCTGGCTTCCCCAACTGTGGCCTAAGAGGAATATTCATATAAGTATATATATTTCTGTTTCATTCCCTCTCTTTCTTTCTTACTCTCTTTCTCTATTTCTATTTCTCTCTTTCTCTCTACAACAACAAATTCAGCCTACCTTGGAGTGCACGAAGGCCAGGCCAGCCACCGTGCCTGCCAGCCTCACGTTTCCTGAGCTCTCCTCCAGGCCAGAGCCAGGCCCTTCCACAGCTAAGGGTGCCCCTGAGTCAAGGATCTCGGCTGTGAAGACTTTAGGGGGAGACAAGTCTGCCATCCCTCCCCTGACGCTGCTGCCAGTCCCCTTCTTCTTGGTCTGCTTCTCCTCCGCATAGGGGTCCAGAAAATCGTAGCTGTTTTGGAGCTCCGAGTCGATCAGGATTAGGCTCTTGGTCACACTCTGGGCCCATGGCTTGATCAGGGACTGTGTGGGCAAGGAGGAATTAAAGAAGGGATAAAGGAAGGAGGAAGGGGAAGTAGGGAAATGTAAAAAGGGGGGATGAGGAAGGAGGAAATTAAGAAGGAGGAGGGAAAGTGAGAACTGGAGGTGAAGGGGGAACTAGGAAAGAGAACAGAAAAATAAAGCTGAGGAAAAAGAAAAAAGGAAAAGATGGAAAAGAAAGAAGAGAAAGAGCAAGATTAGGGGGAGGAGGAGGGATATCACTTCAAAACAAAGAAAACTAGTAGATGTCAATGAAAGAAGATCAAATAAGATAAGAAGAACACCAGACTGCTGTAACTATTAGCGCTACTATCAATAATGACAGTCATAACAACAATTCTGATCAAGGCACCTCAACTCACACACAGCCACTCCTTAACCTTCCCCATTTCTCAAAAAGAAAGAAAAGGAAAAAGAAAACAGGAGGAAAATTTCAAAGAAAACTTACAAGTATCATTTTATAAAGTGACTGTGGAGACTTGTCCTTTGGCAACCAGAAGTTGAGATTGATGTTGTAGGAATAGCTGATCTGCTGCCACTTGACACCCCCGCGGTGGAACCTGAGCTCGGCACTGTTCTGAATGCCGACCGCAGTGGGAGATACATCTACTGTCTTCACTGTACATCTGAGGGGAGAGTTGAAAGGTTTTATATCTACATACTAATAACCTCTGAAGTTCTGTTACTATGGGGGAAAATCTAATAAACAAATACACAAATAAATCATTCTTTCTTTGTTGTTGTCTCCCAGGATAGATACAATATTAATTTGCGTGAAAAAAATATAAAAATGAAACAATTACCGTTTCTCATAATTAAATAATTACTGTTTCTCATACACTGTTCTGTTGTCTCCTTGGATAGATACAAAAAATTCCTTATAACACAACATCCTTATAATAGAACTGTATTACACCCAGATACTAAATGTATAGTTTATAACACTCTTGGCCTTCAAACTCATTACAATTTGACGAGAAACAGGAAAAAAAATGGAAGAAAAAAGAAAATAAAAGCAATCAAAGTCCACACATACTTGAAGGTCTGCGTACAAACGTGCAGGATAATCTTCTCACTGCGAAGTTCGGCAGTCTCCAGCAGGATTTTCGCTGCCGTCCTATGAACCGCACCTAAAATGGACCTGATTTTGGACTGGCTTTGGGAGG